AAGCGCATCGAATGCTTGTGGAAGTTTATGGTGAATCTGCACCGTCGGATAAATCTTGCAGAGAATGGTTTCGACGATTTCAAAGTAGTGATTTTAGTGTTGAAGACAAAGAGCGTTCGGGTCAACCGAAAAAGTTTGAAGATGAAGAATTAGAAACATTACTCGACCAAGATTCGTGTCAAACGCAAAAAGAGCTCGCAAGAACATTGGAAGTTACTCAACAAGCTATTTCGAAACGACTCAAAGCCGCGGGATACATCCAAAAGCAAGGAAATTGGGTCATTTGCATGTCCGAAATGTTGCTTGAACGGTACAAAAAGAAGTCTTTTCTTTTTCGTGTATATCTACAATAATATAAATAATTACAGGTAAGAACAAATTTTTAATAAAAAAAAATGCACGAGACAAGATTTGAACATGTAACCTACCGTGTACGAAGCCAACGTTTTATCTACTGCGCTACCGCTGCTACTGTTTAATAGTGACGATCGAACGTATCAAATGTGCCGCGATCGATTAGAGTTATTTTAAAAAATCGATTTCTTCGAAATTATGGCCCATTGATTGAAACGGCCGGACACATGTCGATTTTTTTTTCGCCCAAGAACAGCCTGTAAAAGCGCATCAAAATCCTCGGAACAGTCACCTCGTGTTCCCCTTGTAAGTCTATGATTAGGTTAAACTGAACAAAAGTCCTCTACCATTTTGCAAATGATCACATAGATTTTTAGATAGTAATTAAAAAAAATTTGTGCATTATGTGCGTAAACGTGTACTACTTATGTACGTAGGCGCGCGGCTCACAGACGTGTATACTTCTAAAGGACGGCGCGGATTTGCTGGAATTTATTAAAGAATATCTGCTTCGTTAATTCTTTAAGTCACGAATTTTTCTACACAACCTTTTCTTTTGCTCAATCGATATCTGGAAATTTTTGGGATCGCTAATTACGAATTTAAAGTCAATTTTTGATAATTCAAGATGGCGAATCCAATATAGTGGACAATAATTTTAAAACTCCCTCGATCTCCGTGAAAATTGATCCGAGGGTTTTTGGCGTCGCTGATCACGAATTCGAAATCACTTTTTAAAAATTTAAGCTATTCACAGACTTAACCTCATTTATTTATAGAAAGAAATATAACTTATTCCGATTGTTGGTACAATCACCATACTTTAACTCACCATATTGAGTTCGACACCTTCAATTTTAAAATTTTTGAGGTTGCGTCATCATCTACAGTTCAAAAAGCATCAACCAAACCATTTTTTCCATAAGTTTACTTTACAATATTTTTGACAAATGAATTTCTTTCAAAAATTCAATTTTTTACATTAATTTGTTTATGAATAATTAAATTTACAAAATTTAATGTTCTATGCAGATGATTCTGTTAGAAGAATATCTAAGCTTCATAATAAATCCACATTTACCGCCTTGAAGCCTCTACAAATTAGTTTGAATTTAGTTTTAAAAACTGCTCTAAAGAAGATATATCATATATGATATACTAAAAAGACTATGACTTAAAAGATTAAGCATCAAAGACAAAAATGTTTCAAAACTTTTCGATTCAAATTTTCATAAGAAATAACGCTATATACTTCATAGGCGGAGATTAAGAAACACTCTAGAGAAACAAACATAAGGAATATAATCCATGCATATATAATTACTTGCTATATTCATATACTTCTGTTCTGGTCATTTATAAACGGGAACTGTTTCTTGCTCAACGTCCGGGTGAGTCGCCTTCAAGAAATGACAACATTAGTGACACTAATATTTGTCAGACAAATGAAAGCAATGGAGAATTAATTAAAAATCAATCAGGAATGGTAACGTCGTTAAACGTCACTAACGTGAGTTGCTAATATATCGATATCTGTTATTTCAATTATTGTTAGGTATTGTTATTGTATGTTCTTTCATGTACATATTGTATGAAAAAATTTTATTATATTTAACTTTCACATTTCGCACGTACGTGTGCATTAATAATATCAGCTTAAATATTTGTTTTCCCGTATTTTACTTTATGCTTGCATGTTTAGTTTATGATGATGATTGCAATAATTGCATAAAATAGGTTTATGATATATTGATTACGTTATTCCCTTTCATTACTCCATTAATTTAAAAATATATAAAGTTATCAAATAATTGTATTTAATAAATAACTTATTAGAGAGAGAGAAACAATTTTGTACATTTCCTTCTTCGACGGAAGAAACCACCACCTTCTCGTGATTTTCGTTGAGCAATAATATAATTGAACGTTTTCTTTTAATAAAACAATTTTTATAAAGGATATAGTACAGTTATTATTAATTTATATAACTAATGTTGTTTTATAATTATGATGACATGAATAAAAATGTTTAATATTTTTATGATTGATTCTGTTCAAGTTTTCTGAAAAAAATAGGTTTCTTTTTTCCTAAATTTGAATTTCTAAAATGCATTTTACTTCATTTATTTACAGTAGTTTACAATTAATTTAAAGAGCGTTTGCAAAAATCATCCATTTTTTATTCCCTAATTTTGGAACTGAATTATCTGCTAAATGGTATCTTATGATAAGTCATTAATAACAAAAAATGTTTAAGTTGAGCTAAGAATTGGTTTTAGAGATATGTGTATTAACCCGTTTCGCCCTTAAATTTTGTCTTTGCTTTATTGCAATAATTTTGACAGAAAACGTCTATAGATATTTCCAACATTCGATATCCTATAGATGTAAGACATGCCCTTTCCGAATCTGAAGTCCATTTTTTGCTATCACACGCCATTTTTTCAATATGACGGCTGAAACGCCAAAAAATGAAAGAAAATAAAAAATCGTTTGTATCTCACTTTTCGGCATCATCCTGTCATAGAATCGTACTAGTTGTCTGGATCTGGTGGCATAATGTCTTTAGCTAAAATATGGTGCTATGCAGATCAAACAATTCATTATAGCGGATTTAATATGGCGGCTTTTTTAAGAAAATTTTTGTTTTTATCACTTTTTCCAGATTATTTATCATCCATTTGCATTTACGTGATCTGTAGTATTAAAATATAATTTAAATGAAATTAAATCGCAATGTACCACAACATAAACAAAAAATCCAAAATGACGGAGATTTTCAGGTTTTTTATGAAATTTTTAGTTTTTATACGTTTTTGTAACATATCCGATTATTTTTTCACGCTTTTGTTGATTCTGAGGCTTACACCTCTGCCGAAAAAATTTCTACGAAAAACTACAAATTTCTACAAAAAAATAAAGATTTGTAGAAATTTATAGAAATGTATAGAAATTTATATATTTTCATAAAAATATATAGTGTAGATATATAGTGTACGCAATACTACAATTTGGGAGATCTAAAGTTGTTAAAACATACACTTAGCCAAACAGCATAATATCCAAACGTCTTAGACGTTTTTTAGACGACGTAAAGTTGTCTCAAAGACGTCTTACATTAAAACGTCTTTAAGACATCTATAAGTTGTCTTTACGTCGGACTAAGACGTAAGACGTCTTTGAAACGGCAAAGCCGTTTGAGACGGCAAAAGCCGAGCAAGTCGTGCTAAATCTCATGCAACATATGAAGGCCATATAAAACGCCTTTATAGTGAAGTTGAAATGCAGTAACATATAGGACAACAGACTTGAAGAACCAAAGATTTCGAGTTCAAATCCAATGTGGGCAAGGGATTTTTTCTAAGACAATATACACTGAGATATTTACATTCTACATGATTAGGAAAAGTTCCAACAATAAAAGCCACTGATGTCATCTCTAAAAGATACAAACAGCATTTCATAGAACTAAAAACTTTAACTAGGACAATCTATCTACTGATGATGAGGTATGCCTAATGCAGAAAATAAACTATATCACTAGTTACATTTTTTTGTCTAACTATTAGGTAACTTATGTTATATCCTCATTAGAAAAAATGATACCGCCTAGCAACTAGTTTTGATATTTTACCTCATAACTAGTAGTTTCTTTTATCTCAATATTAGTTAATATATTGCATATAGCTATTCGCAAAAGCGTTACATTACTGGTTCATCACTGTCTAGTTAACGATGTGTATGTGTGTATTAGATACAACTTTATTATGTAATAACTAGATTCTCATAAGGTGCAAATTCTACTCGAGTAGTTTTGACCTGTTGATAGCCGGCACATCTTGCTCGATTTTTGCCGTCACGCGTTGCTCGGCACATCTTGCTCGCTGTTTGCCGTAAATTTGCCGTCACGCATTGCTCGGCACGTCTTATTCAGTTTTTGCTCTGCCCTCAAATAATTTCGGCATGCTTTGCCGACATAATGCCAGCATAATAGTAGTATACATGCTGCAATCCTATGATTGATTTTGCCGGCAATTTGTCGGCATATTGCTGACATTTTGCTATCAGGGTCATTTGTGGAATTTTTTACACAATTTCCTTTCGATATATATATGAGAAAGCAACGACCAATAAGAGAATTTGTTTCTTAGTAACTCTCGAAAGATACATTTTTTTTAGAAATCGGATGCGTTTCGAAGTGCATCAAAAAAGAAAGCGTACAAATTTTTTAATAAACAAACGAGTTGAACAACTGAAGAGTAAAGAGAACAATGTGACTCCTCGATACATGGATAAGATATAAGCAAGTTGCATACTAGTAAAGCATGATTGCAAATGTACAGCAAATGTACTACAAATAATGCATTTATTTGTAAATTTACTATCATGGCTTTACTAATAAAATCACACATCTTGCTCACATAGTGTAAAATCATCTTGTTCTGTTTACGCTTAAATATAATTATTCGATTTACTAGGAACTTGGCAATAAAATTTAAGACATTTTGTTATCTGAGGATATACAATTTATAAATTGCTGATTATTTATATTTGTGAATTTTCTCATTATCTTATTTATTTATTGATAATTGACATATGACATCATGATTAAAAATGGCTAGAATAACTAGAAGAACCATTAATACCTTTTGTGTCAACTTCTTCTTACTTTTTATATCCTCATCCTCGCAGCTTGTTTTGTTATAGTCAACATCAGCCGTGCCATTTTTGGTATTTGATTTAGTTTCGAAGACTATATAGTAACCATCTTCAGAATCGGTGGATTCCTCCGAAATTGTTCGTGGTCTAAATTGATTTATTTGCGAATTACATAATTTATCTTCGTCGTGGTAATCGTTGATATGCCGCGAAGGATCAGGTACATTATTATTACGCATTGTTCAAATCTTTATTGCAGGCGTTGTATCAGGAAATTTAAATGTTACGAAATTAGTCTGCCTAAAGGTTACCTCTTCGTGTTGTTATAAAATTTCTGTGTGCTGAAAAACATATAACATACGTTAGTCAGAACAATATTAAAAATTAAGTGTATATTCATCGCAATTTATGAACATCACACTTGTTTGCTCTTTGTCGCTTGCATCTTAGCCATTTAATAATAATAATAATAGCAAAAGCGCTTACTACATTAATTACATTGATCTAAATATTTATCACACATAATTTTATTTATGTAATTATATATTATAAAGAGAAAAGAGCATCTCTCACTCACTCACGCACGCACGCACGCACGCACGCACATGCACACATATGTGTTTCCAACAAAAATATCGAAGAAAAAAAAAGATGATATTTTTGGTCTTGAAAAGTCTCAACAAAGTTATAACTCTAATTTCATAAACACAATCATATACATTTAGTTTTTTAAACATAAATCAATTCCTATAGTCATTCTGCGTACAGAAGTACTGGAGTAAAATAACCGAAAAGTAAATATTTCACATTTTATTCTGTTACATTTCAATACAAGATATATATGAATAATGATAATATGATATGAATATATATGATAACACGATAATATACAGGGTGGCCCACGTAAAGTATTATAAGCTAATAATTCTAAATATTTGTCCTATCAAAAAGTTGTTAATGAGAAATTTTCATATATTCAAGGAGCCTTTCTAATTACGTAAACAATCCACTTCTGTCCCCTATTGAAGAGGGGGGGGGGGGTAACTTCAAAGTTTCAAATGGGACCCCCTATACAATGTTACATATTTGGATTCTACGTAAAAAAACAAGTAAACTTTGTCTAAAACATTTCTTTGGAAAATGCTCCTATCAAAAGTTATAAACATTATAAACATTTAAACTTTAATGTAGAGTGCATTGAAATTAATGATAAATTAAATAAGACTCATAGTTTTTCTGTTTTGTTTTATTTTATTAAATGTTCGAACTATTGACCATTAACATCTGAACACTTATTAATTCTTTTTATAAAACTTTGTCTAACTCTAAATAACATTTCTGGAGTCATCTTAGTGCAAGCTGTATGTATTCTTCGTTTTAAGTCTTCTTTCGTCGTAAGTAGTTGAGATGTGATTCTTCTTTGATATACCCCTATAAAAAATAATCCAAAAGTGTAAGACCAGGTGAACGAGGAGACCATTGAACAGGATCTCCCCGAAAAGCTAAAAGTTTAAATATTCATAACTTTTGATAGGAGCATTTTCCAAAGAAATGTTTCAGACAAAGTTTAGTTGCTTTTCCCGTAGAATCCAAATATGTAACATTGTATAGAGGGTCCCATTTGAAACTTTGAAGTTACCCCGCCTCTCTTCAAAAGGGAACGGAAGTGGATTTTTATTTATGTAGTTAGAGAGGCCCCTCGAATATATGAAACTTTTTCATGAACAACTTTTTGATAGGACAAATATGTTTAAAGTTATTAGCTTGTAACACTATACGTGAGCCACTCTGTATATGTGTATGTATGTCTGGATATGGATGTGAGTTTGTGTAAGCGCGTGGCGTATGTGTCTGTGTATTAGGTGGTAAACTTAGTTCCTGCGGCTCACAGTTAGATGACGTTAGTTGTAGGTGTAATTTATTTTGACATCTGAAACTGGCTGCATTTTAGAGGTTAGACATTTGTCAATAAAATTCAGTGCGAAGAGATTCATTTAAGCGAGCAGTGCTATTTTTTCT